CCCCCCCCCCCACACACACACACACACACACACACACAGAGAGAGAGAGAGAGAGAGAGAGAGAGAGAGAGAGAGAGAGAGGAGACCTGTGTTTCCAAGTGGCGATCCAGGAAGCCATTCGACGGTGCCATGCATTCCAAAATGGATGACTGCATCGGCATCGTACTCGTTTTGCAGCCATTTGTAAAATGCCACGTACTGATGATTCCCGCCGCCAAGCACATTTTCGCAAAGGCACAAGCGAGCAATTCCAGTCAGCATTCCTGTGGGCACTCTCAAACCAACCAATAGATTGTGACCAGCTGAGTGAAGAAAGAGGAAGTGATGAACAGGGATAAGGGACTCCAGAAAGCAACTCTACAACGATTGACGGCAAAGAAATTGAAGAATGAAGGAGTCCAAAAAACATTAAAGCATGAGGGATTTAAAAAAGAATCAAGCAATTCTGTACAGCATGTACATAGACAAACATGAGGTGGATTTTGATTTAGGTGTTGATAGGGGTGTATTGCTGGATTTCACACAGGGGGTTTACAGATTAAGGTTGAGGGCTTAGGGTAAGGACAAGGGGCCAGGTTTTAGGCTTTAGGGGTAAGGGGTTAGTGTTGAGGGGTTTAGAGTTGAGGGTTTAGGTTTTAAGGTGAGGGTTTACGGCTTAGGGTTTAGACAGAAAATTCCTTCTTTCGGTTTCTTTATGTTTAGAAAATGGTGTGGAATCCGGATGGTCCAGCCCTGTTTTAGGATTTATGTCTCAGCTTTAAGGTTGGGGTTTAGGGATTAGGGATTGGGTTCAGGGTTTAGGGGTTAGGGATTAGGGTTTAGGTGTTTAGGGATTAGAGATTAGGGTTTAGGGATTAGGGATTAGGGTTTAGGGATTACGGTTTAGGGATTAGGGTTTAGGATTTAGGGATTAGAGATTAGGGTTTACGGATTAGGGTTTATGCATTAGGGATCAGGGATTAGGGTTCAGGGTTCAGGGTTTAAACCACCGGTACCTCCGAGCCTCTTTTTCATGACACGGATTTGCGCTGCAAGCCAAAATCAACAGAGCTGCTAGCGGTACGCTTCTTTTCTATTTTGCCTGCCGCTGCCAGCCATTGTGGTCCTGTAGCACTGTTCGTTCGAAGAACGCGGATAGTCGCAAATTCAATTCTTGAGTTGCCTGGGCGAGGTACTGGTCTTTTAAGACTGCCTTCTTCACCCAAATACAACGTATAGTAACTACTAACTATTGCTGTATTTAGACTGAAAGATAGCCCAAATGCAGCTATAATGACCGTACGTCGTATTCTGGTGAAGAAGGACGACAGACTACCCCTTCTTTGTGTTTCTTTATGTTTGGCATGGTGGCCAGTCAGCGTGACCGGTAAGAAAACGAAACAACGAGTTCAAAGTCAAATTTGAACCATTGGTCTCATTCATCATCATCATCTCCTCCTCCTCCTCCTCCTCCTCCTCCTCCTCCTCCTCCTCATCATCATCATCATCATCATCAGGTGAAGTTGGTACCTGTGGGTGTGGAGTGAGGTCCCTCTCGAACAAGAGGCGCATAGGGTCGCCTTCTATCCCTAGCAATGGTTGCACCCCAATCCTGCAAAGCCAGCAACCAACAAGCAGATGAGGAGTTGCTCTTTTTTCTCTTTTTTTTTTGTTTATTTTCTTCTTTTCCTGAGATAGATGAGAATAAAATTTTGTGAAAAGATCATTGATCACACAAACATAATAAAGACATGCGCTGCCTTCTTTTTTTGTTTTCTTTATTTTCTTCTTTTCCTTTCCTGGCCGAGTTGGGCAGTAACATAGCACAGCTACATCCAGAGAAGTCCTACTTTCAGCGTGGCCAAAGGCAGTTCCAAGCTGTCAAAAGGACACATTATTCCAGTCATCGTCACATCTCGTTTTTGAACGTTTTCCCCTTTTTATTTTTTCGAGCAATCTCTCTCTCTCTCTCTCTCTCTCTCTCTCTCTCTCTCTCTCTCTCTCTCTCTCTCTCTCTCTCTCTCTCTCTCTCTCTCTCGTTCCTTCGTTTCTTCCCTCTTCTCCTCTTCCTTTCTTCCCTCCTCCCTCATCCTTGCTTCCCTCCATCCCACCTGGCCTGGCCTGGCCTTGCCTTGCCTTGCCTTGCCTTCCCCTGCCCTCCCTTCACACTCCCCCCCTCCCTTCTCTTTCTTTTCTTCCGTTTCTTTCTTTTCTTTTCTTTCCTTTTCTTTCGTTTTCTTTTCCTTTTTTTTTTTGTCCCCCCCCTAAAAAAGAACAACATTTTTCTCTCAAATTCTTTCACCTTTCACTACCTGCCTACTACTACTACTAAGGCTATACAGGGGACCCCTGCAAGCATAGTGATCTACCTCTCTTGGTGAAGGGAGGTTACCTCTTTCGGTGAACGGACACAATTGCATGTTTGCCCCTTGACCTAGTGGTTTAGGGTGCAGGGTTGAGGCCGCCGGTGGGGACCCGACTAATACAAGGAGGGAGCATTTGCCAGTAGCTGCACCTCCCTTTCACCTTCCCCCACCCCCTTTTGAGTAACAGCAGTGTCTAAGGCCAACACTCTCCCACACACCACACACAACCCACTCACACTCGCACTCACACCCATCTTGCCTGAAGACCCTACTGATACAGACCAGGGGGATCGAGGCTCATCAAGCTGACTATCTCAACTGATTGGCACCAAGCGTACTGCAGGCAGCCACGGGGATTGAACCGACAACCTCCTTTTCTTTTCTCTTCTTTTCTTTTCTTCTCTCCTCTTCTCTTTTCTTTTTTCTTCTCTTTTCTTCTCTTTTCTTCTCTTTTCTTCTCTTTCCTTTTCTTATTTTAGTTTGAACCTTATGCGTGTCATCCTTGAGCAGGGGCCATGCTAATCTTCCTTCTCTGTATCGTTCCAATTTTAACGGATGTTTCAGAGGACATTCTTTCTTTCTGTCTTTTTCTTTTGAAACAGCCAAATCCTGATGCACACACACACACACACACATCAAAACACACACACACACACACACACACACACACACACACACACACACACACACACACA